TGGTCTCAAATTCCCCACAAAATATGCCATGAAATCCGCATACATATTTACACATCGAATTATTATTTATTTCTAATCGCCAGACAAAAAGAATGTTTTTTAGCTGAATCATGGAGCCACCAAAACAAGATTTCTTAGAACTGAAGGGCAGTCTTTAACATACGGTGGTAAAATTGTACAACACGGCTGAGAGAGCTGCTCTCCCCTCGCTGACAGACTTAGCAGCCGTACAACTGTGCTCCTCCTTAAAAGTCACCTACTAAGACTGCTGCTGATTTTATAACAGAATTCTTACTTATTAAATAAATAACTTACAAGCTTATGACACAGAAAGGAAAGACACAACAATTTTCCTCCCCCCAGGATCCCAGCGGGGCCGTGGGCTTCTGGACTTGTAAGGACCAGAATTTGTTCACTCTTGCAGAAGACGCACACACACTCTTCTATCAAAAACAGGCATCGGGCAAGACCGTGTTTGAGAATTTCACGGTTTTGCCGTGAGCTGGGTAAGTCCACTCAGCGAATGTCAAGCCTTTTAAGTTTTAAAGCTTCCCTACCTCTTTTACCAAAAGGGCTTGGGGAGACACAGAAATGCAGGACAGAAACATTACTGCTACTCCTGAATCCCGCCAGGCAAGTTCTTCCACGTAAATGTTAAAAAAATTCCCCCTCGGAGCCTTGGTCTGGTAATATCTTCCTGTGTATCATCTTGAGTAAACTGAATTCACTGCACAGGAGCACAAAAATGCGCACAGACATCGAGGTGCCCCAGGAAGGGTGACACTGGCGCTACCTGCCATGGCAATACCTGAAGGTGCCAGCCAGTAACGCTGGGGGGGAAGTGTCAGACAGACACGACGGCAGGGAGAGTCCGTAGCACAAAGCTTTAGATGACGCTAAAGGCAGCTCACGGGGCAGACAGCGAGAGGACAGAGTGGCTAAGACTGAGGAAACATGAGAAGATGGTTCCTTTCTCGGAGTCCCAGCAGAAACTGGTGTCACAACCGGCGCGCGCGTGGAAGACAAGTGGCGCAGATAGCTACAGATGCCAAAGAAGGGAGACGATGGGTGAAGAGGAACCTCCTTCTACAGTGTAACTGGTACTACAAAGCCCTAGTCTCTGGCAGGGGATTGTCTCATGAGATAAATGCAATCAGAGGTGACGGTAATAGTGGGAAATGGGGGTGAAGTGATGCCGGTGAGTATTAGCAATTTCAAGTTCTTACTGCCCAGGGAACTGCATACTTTTAGCTAAAGGCATTGCTTCTATTTGAGAAGTAAAATATCCTTCATCTCAGTTATGGTTTTTTCTCTGTGAATTCCTTCATGAGATTAATGACTGCCCTGTTACTTTCCACAATATAAGTCAACACTTGGTGTAATAGGTATTATGCATGGGTAGAAGTAATTGCAAATAAAAGGAAAGTGTTCTTGCCAGAGAATTTGAAATGAGGTACTGACACTGACAAATAAGAAACTCTGCTGAGACTGGTCCACAATCCTACGAGAATGACTGTGAGTGCAAAGTCAAACAAACTTCATCAACATAAGTGATGAATACGTCAGGAGAATGAAATTTGCTACCTAAAAAAAAGGGCAACAGTACCTTAAATGTGATTGTATAAATATACGTAACTGCTCCTATTTTAGGAACACATGCTGAAACACGAGAAATCCCAGCTCCTGATGGCCTGTGTCATCAGGAGAAATCGTTTGACGTAACAACAGCTATAAAATAAATGCAGGTCAAAGGTGTACATCTTTGATGAAGACATGCTAGGCACACACATGCAGCAGACCTGTCCCTGCACAGAACAATACAGCCCTCACACGACTGTGTTAGGACAACTCCCACGGCGTATGCCCACTGCTTGCCCCTGCAGGCAACCTTCTCACCTTATTTTCTTGTAATTTTTTAACGTATTTTACTCTTACCTATTTTTATTTCTGTTACTACACTCAGCTTTCAATATCGCACCTTCATTATTCTAAATATCTCTAGCCAATTTTGTACTTCATCTCCCTTCGTTATTTTCTTTATTTCACTGTTTTTTGAACATACTAGCAATTAAATATGAGTTGCCTATTGTAGACTTCAGAGCTGGTAAGTACTGCAGTGCCCGTGCCATGTAGGAGGGGCAGGGAGGAGTGAAGGAGAGAGGGAGGCGGGAGGAGAGAGGCTACTGAAGAGGTTTGAAACATCCTTGGTTTGCTGACTTCCTTCATATAACTGATTAAAACACAGTTAACCTCTTACCCTTGATCGGTGTGAATGGCTTTAAAAGCTGTTATAAGCCTTTCAGACATCTATAATGACTCTCTTCCTTTTGTGAAAAGTAATACTATTTGCTGCCAGTGGCAACACATTTTCCAGGCTTAACAAAAAAAAGAAACAACCTTGTAGGACATGGTAGAAAACCCTTTTCTACATGGACAGCTGTTACTTTCTGTGAATGAGGAATTTCTGAAAGGTATGTTCAGGAATAGCCTGTCTTTCTATGTAAAAAGTTCACTGGAATACAGAAAATATTTGTTACAGAAACAAAAAAAAAAGCCAAAGGCTGAGATTTCTCTGTAAATTACGTAGATGCTTCCAGGATCCAGTAGCAGATCTAGTAGTGGCCGTCTTTCATGTTGAGTGCATTCAAAAATGCGGAGGCAGTGAAAGCGAGGCAAAAATATTGCCAGTTACAATTCTGTCCAAAAATGCGACAATATAGCTCCTTATACCAGTGTCACATCAGCTGCAAAAATGAAAGTTATAAACATGTCTTGCTTTGTGATATACTCATGCTTGTGAAACTGCTTGTAAAGCTCCTTTTCTCCCTGCACCTTTTTGCGCTGTTAGTGTGGAAAAGCTGAGTACGATGTAAGGATTATTTTTATTTTAGCATTTGAATTGTGTCACCTGGATCATTCCTGTGACCGACTGTAAGCATTAAACCCTTCCTGCAGTGCCATTCCCTCCCAGAAGGCTGGTGCTGGCATCCACGTGCCTTATTCAGTATCTCTGCGGAGGGAGTGGAAACTGCCAGGCAAAATGAAGGAGAGCCCGGCTCCTTGCTGTGGGCTTTCTGCTCCCAGTGTGGTCCCTGGGTTTAATCCAGCTCCCCGCTAGCGGCAGGGCGTTGTTGGACAGCACACCCCGGTGCCTCTTTTCACATCCTCAGTCTGTTTTCAAACGGCTTTATTCCTTCTGAGGCCAGCTTTCAAAATACTGCGAGTTACACTCTGTTTATAAATCGATATTAAAGTACCGTAATAACAAAACTATCAGTTAACTTCTACTAAAAACAGTATCAATGTACTTGTAAGATGTAAAGACTCAGTTCAGTTACAAAGCAGTTAAATCCATCCATACCTGGAGGATCTTATCGCCAGGCTGGAGCAGGCTGGATGCTGGTCCGTCAGGCTGAACCCTAGTAACAAAGATACCCTATAAGTCAGAAGTAACAGAGGTTAGGATGCTATCACCAAGAACTAGTTCCCAAAATACAGGTTTCTCCCTAACTGGTGTCTATATACTCTGGCAAGGGTCTAAACACTAAGCTCTTTTAACAGTAGCATGGGTTTGTAGCAGCTCTCCGTGAGAGCAGAACTTCAGCTAGTTATTGCCCGATACAAATATAATTGTGGGTCATTTGAAACTAAGATTCCACATCACAAAATAATGTTCAGTCTGAATAGGGCAAGAGTAACAGGGTTATCAGGAGGATAATTAGAACGGAGTAAGCATTAATTTGAGTAATGGGTACCATAATCTATATAGCAATCTTTGTCTACTTTCTCGAAGGAAAAAAAAAGCGTAAAAAAAACCCTTCTGAAAAGCAGTCTTGATATTCAGCCCTTGAGATACTCAGTACAATGGTCTGCAGGACTGTCACTTAATCCAGTGTCTGAGGAGTGAATGACTTTGAAAGGGGAAAAATTATTAAGTAATAAAGGATGTTTTCAGATTTGTTTTCAGAATTTCAGTAAAATGTGTTAATAAAACCCAGAATCAAAGATTGAGTGCCTAGAAGATGAACACATTTGAAATATTTCCCATACAGCTCGTGCAGCCCTGCATTTCTGTGCCCTCAGTCTCACTTTCTGTGCTGTGCTTACCCTGCTGCCGAGGAAGAATACCTTTAAGCAGACTCTAGCACTGAGCATCGGCTAAATTTGAGCCATTTACATTGCTCCCAGAGACACCAGAGAAATTCCCTGCTTAGTATCATCATGCAAATCGTGTGCATCCTTGAGGAATTTTATAGCCATCTAGAGCAAGGTACAGTCCAGTATTTCTGTTAACCTTACAAAACCTTATAAAAACCTGAGCTCCTCGGGGCAGAGCGACGGGCTGCTTGCATTTCATCCATGTGCCATTAACTTGTGCCACAAGTCTGCCATTCAAAATG